ATAATACACTTTATTATGCACAACATATACGTGAAAATAAAAATGCCAGTTGGTAAAGAAAAGATAGATTTAAAACAAAAATCACATTAAGGTTGATACCTAATAAAATTATTTTCACTATACACTCCCCTGATGCAATTGTTGTATCAGGGGAGTGTCCAGACAGTAGGATGTGTGTCCATTTATTTTTAATTAGAAAATTCAATTAAGCCATAGATCACTGACCAATGTAGCTGGTATATATATTACATATTAATTTTCATCAATTTCTCACCTGTACAATGAAAAGTAGCTCCTCTGATGAATCAAAAAATGATTCTTGTAGTGAAACAACATGAGGATGTTTTAAATGAGCTAATATGCTGCAATTTCAAAAACGTACATGTAATTACTGTCTTATAACAAATATTCACTATACAGTGCATGTTTGTACATACTGTTAAAAGGAGGTATTTAATTACAGTTTCAATATATGCATGAACATGTCCGCTGAACAGGAGGACAAAACAATTGATATGCATGTACCCTGTCCACAATATTGCACTGTACAGCTACAGGTCCAAATTACATGTAAACTCTGCCACAACAATACGCAACATTTATGAACAAGATAATGGCCCAATTTATACCAGAGACGAATTATCCATCTGAGACGGATAATTCGTTGAAGTATAAATTTGGTACGAAGACGAATTATGGAGCAAAATTCGTCTGAGGCTGATTCGCCTGTTAGCATGTCTTGAAGACGTGCTAACAGACGGATAAATCGTCTTAGACGGATGATCCGTCTCTAAATTTGTATCTAGACGGAAACGTAGAAGGTTTGTTTGACAAAGTTTCCACATGAGAGGGATTGGTTTCTATATTAAATCTTCAATTTCTCCAAGAATGAAATGAAATGTGTCTCGATTAACTCGAATTCTTTTCTTGAACTGCAACTCCGACCAGTTTTGAAGGCTGTCCTCCCACCCCCATGTCTAATGCTCTTCTTTGCCATTTGTTTGTCAGCAACGCTACGAGTGCTGCTATATTGTTTTTGATCTCTCGCCAAGCTTCCACTCGGCTTGACACCAAAACACTCATCATGTAACACATGTAACACGTAACGTATATGTAGACAAACTATTTGTCTAAATTCATCTTCAGATTTATACTTAGACGAATTATCCATCTGACGGATAATCCTTCTAGATGGAAAATTCATCTCTAGTATAAATTCAGCCAATGGTATAAAAAAACTTGACCCCTGAGATTTTTTAGTGGATAATGTCCTGCCTATAATTAAACCTCTGACAGTTACATGGTACGGTCTGACTTGTACCTTGCTTCCTTTACAACAGCTTCTTTTGTCCTGCTCTTTTTGTTTGGATCTAAGATTATTTCCTTGATAGCAACATGCCTGTAAAATGAATAAATAAATAAATGAATAAAAAAATATAAATGATTATAAATAAATGAATAATTAAATAGATAATAAAATAGTTCAGTCATTGAAGAATTCTTGTCTATATGTATATGTACTGTATATGCACCATACCTCAAACATCTACATGAATTCTAACTAACGGCATAATGGAAGGGGTGCATGGAAAAAAGCCCTACATGTAAGTGACTCTTGATCTCATGTCAAATTCTCCTTTTCTGTACAAGGAAGTGAAAAGCAATTTGCCAGGAGAATCTTGCAGTCTATCAGATGTCACTTAGGGTCTTATTCCATGAACTCTTCAGTTTATTGACAGCAAACTAAGTGTCCTGTAACTCACACAACAGTTGGAGGATTGGTGACCTGGTATTAAAACCGGAACATTGTGGGTCTTGGAAACTTTTGATTCCATCCCCAAATCTTGGAATCCTTTGAGATGAGTCATAAAGTCTCATTTGAGACTTTATGACTCATCTCAAAGGAAAATAAGTACTATCGTAAAGATTTAAAAAACCTCTGTGATAACAATCTTCTTAATTAGCCTCCTGCATTGTATGAAATTGGCACTGCAAGTATTATTTACATGCAGAGAAGCTAAATTAAACCAAGGGAATCCCCTCAAAAGCGTCTCCATCGTAGTTCGATCCTATGCATAAATATTAAGAAAAACTGAGTTAGACTACCCGATTCTGCATGAACTCACCGAAACATGAATTGTAAACATGGGCTTAAAAACTTATTTACAATAAATATTAAGGCAACATTATTAAGTATTAGTCTACATGTACATGACTAAGCCATGCAAACTACGCGGGTTAAAATGTAATGAAAACTTATCAAAACACTACGCAACGAACCTTCCATTTCCTTTCTCGAATGCTAGAATGACCTTTCCACCAGCTCCTTTGCCAAGAGTTCTTACCACTTCATATCTCTCCATCGCCTAGCTCAATCAAATTTTATAAGCTTACTTTGTGGTGCAAATGACGACTTTGGTTTCACATGTGTTGTTGAAAACTTATGTGATCTAGAGAGGTATATTAGGGCGGAAGATAAGTATGATAGGAAAAAAGAGGCTGAGGACGGAATTCTTGCGCTGATTGTGTAGGATTTCCATTGTCTAAGCGAATAGAACTACTTGGAATTCCTGCCGTTCCACTTTCGTTTCCAATGTAATCGAACGACGGGCTGAGTAGCCAGGCCTCAATCTAAGCACATAAAGCGTGGTCACCAAGCAATTGACTTCTCCTCTCAAGGTTTTGTGGGATTTTTTGCTTTACGGAGTACTGAACAGTTCCGTTTGGGAGTTTTCAGTTTTGTTGAAATATTTCTACCATTTAAAAAACCTCTTTGAAGAAAAAGGCGTTTGTAATGGCTATTCCAGTGGCACCTCAACCAGTCCAGCAGCCAAAGTCGTGGGGTATGTTTTGGCAAACTGCTAATCAATGCTTAACACATGGCTATGTGCATGTAAAAGACTTCAAAATCCACAAACGTCTGACAAATCTGTATTTCGACATCGTTTTAACCTTACGTCTTTTCCAGTTTTCAAGGTGTAGAAAGAATGTGGCGTAAATGATAAACTTCATTATGCAGAGTTAAAGTACAAACATACTTTGCGCTATAAATTGAACAGCATAGCCTTTTCGAAAGCTTTTCTGTTTTTAAAATGATCGTTACAATTTTTACTCTTTTTCAAGAGTAGGCATTGTGGTTTCTCATTTCATTATTGTTTTGATGGTGTCTCATACGTTTAACCAGTTAACTCGATTTTTTTTTTCTGTAATTGCTGGTGTCTTTCTACTGTTTCTTCTTTTAAACTGACTCATTAATAATTTATGTTTAATTGAGCGTTCCATTTGATGAAATGGTAGTCTTGACAATCTTAGCATTGATTCTGGTTTTAAAAAGAAAGTATTGGATTCCCACTAAATATCATAATTGAAACTTCACATACCATCTGTAATATTCTATTAAGCTTGTAATATCACACCAAGGGAAGAATATTAGAATTTTCATGTCCTTGGAATGAGTAAACTTGATGTTTACTTTTCTTGTCATTTTTATCACCTGACTATTTGTAAATGTGTAATCTATTTGCATATCAGTAATACTTGGGCTCTACTCATTTGAATCACTAAGTAACAGAAACACACAAAGTACGGTGGAATTCAAAAAACAAATTTGCTTTAATAATAAAATTGTACCATCTTAATTCCTTTTTAGAGCTTAGCTTGTATGAACTCCATCGCACACCTCAGGAAGCCATCACAGATGGAACAGAGATTTCAATTTCACCTCGCAGCCTCCACAGTGAGCTGATGTGTCCCATTTGTTTGGACATGCTCAAAAACACAATGACAACCAAAGAGGTGGGTCAAATGTTTAACTGGCTAATTAAGGAAAACAGGGCTTGTACAGTGTCATATAAATCTATATACATGTAAAGTGCTCTGGACATGAGCTTGTTGTAATTTCCTTGATATTGATTATGTGACACTCATCTCTTAAGTGTAGAGGGAAAACTGAAATTGTTAAAATTAAGGAATGTTTGTCACTAAAAGAAGGTGTTCTTGCTTGGATGGTTCTGTTACAGCTGTACATACTGTAACCGAATCTAGTGAATCATAAAATTATGATTTATTTCAAAGCAACGACATGTATGCACATCCCAAGGTACATAATAGTTAACAAGAATCTGTTCAAGAAGGTATTGATAAACCTGTTAAAGTATAAAATTATTCTTTATATCTAGTGCTTACACAGATTTTGTCAGGAGTGCATCATCACTGCTTTAAGGAGTGGGTAAGTACAAGACAAGTTTTATCTCAACTGTGTCAACTGACTGAATGAGAAACCCAGTTGTGAGAGAAAATTGCATTGTATCTGAGCAATAGGCCCTTTGCACGATCCGGTCACATGGTACAAAATCACACATGCTGGTGAGCAAGTTCCGCAGTGGAATTTCCAAAACAAAGGCAGGTCCAGGTGGACTGGTACGAGTGGCACTGTTTTGGAAGTCCCACTGTGCAACTTGCTCACCAGCATGTGTGATTTTGTACCATGTGACCAGATCGTGCAAAGGGCTTATTATAGTGACGTACAATGTATTGAATATAGCTGTTAGAGTATACATGTACATGGTAAATGTTTCATTTCACTTTTAATGCCCACATCAGAAACAAGGAGTGCCCAACATGTAGGAAGAAGTTGATTTCAAAGCGCTCCTTACGTCCAGATCCTAATTTTGATGCACTCATTGCAAAGGTAAGGGATTTCTTCTGTGATTAGCTGTGACATTGCATTTACAGTATTCTAACAGTTGCCAATTATGGTCATTGTCGGTGTAAATGACTGACAGTATAATTAACTTGTAACTTTGATTTTATCCTTAAATTAACAACACCATTGACAATTCTGCAACCTGATGACCTGATATTAAAATATATTTTAATTTATTATTTGTCAATTTTTGTTGATGCTTTGATTGCTGTATGTAATCACAGATTTACCCAGACAGAGATGAATATGAAGCTCATCAGGTTGGTAAATCATGAGTTTAATGCTGTGAATAAAGTTCTTTAGTCTATACTGTACATGTAAATTAATGTACACGTTGTTTTATATGAGTCTATAAAGCGGTACATGTACAGTGTGTTAATTACTCTGTTACATGTATGTTTAATTGCATGCATATTTTGCCAGTAACATTCTCAAACTCATTAATAATATTATTCATCAAGTTAAAACAAAGAAAATCACAACCGTGAAGGAGGTTTGGATACCCAGTCTTAATTAGCATAGATTTTGATGATTTTACTTCTCCATTTATCCCTGACTGTACTCCTAATGTAAAAAATGTAGTGTTTTGTTTTGATTGAGAAGATATATCAAACACTCAAGACAGTGTTTCATCGGCTATCCAAACGCTTCGAATTTTGTCAAAAATACTCCGCTGCGCGTCATACTTTCAACTCACTTCTCGGTGTTTGGATATCCCGATGAAACACTGTCTCTTGTGTTTGATATATTACATATTAACAAGCCTTGGCTCATGCTTTTTTTAGCTGCTGTTGTAAACAGGCATATGTATTCTTTAACAGTCATAAATTTTGCTGTTCATGGATTGCCAGTCCTTTGCAGTTCTTTGATTGTCGACAGTAATTACTAATTCCTCGGATGTAGAGTGTGAACCCTCAAGTGGAGTCACTGTGCAAGCCAAATGCTCTTCTTCTCCAGAGTAAATACGACAGACCTCCTCTGATTATTGAATGCCATTGCATAATAAATTGTTCTGAATATGTTCTTTCTGTTAAAATCACCTCTAGGAGAAAGTTCTACAGAGATTAAATAAACACCATAACCAACAAGCTTTGACCAGTAGCATTGAGGAAGGACTTAAACTCCAAGCAATAAACAGAGCACAGAGAGTGGTATGTTTGTTAATTTACCAGATAGTATGTCTTGATTTTGGTTTTATAGGCTGGGTTCCGCTGTACATACATATAAACATGGGTTTAGTCTTCGTTTGAGCCTAGTGAGCCACTGGGTTGGCATTTATTTCCCAGTTTCAGACGGACTATGAGTACATGTTCATGCAGGCATTTAGCCAGATGGGTGTCCAGGCATCCTGTGGAAGGCCACTTTTTGAAGGAAATTGTTTTATTAAATTTCATGTTGCCTTATAAATTGTTTGTTTGAGCAGGCCCAAAAACAAATTTTGGACACCCACTTTTCAAATTGTGGGTAAAAGCCTGCATGTATAGTACTGATTTATGCTCCTGGCCCCTGTTATTTGTAGGCTGAGTTACACCATCTAATGGATGAATCGCTATCCAGTGGATAAGTGGTAACAAAACAAACTAAGCTATTGACTGGATAGTGATTTATCTACTGGATAGCGTTATCCACCTTTTGAACAAACTGGGCCAGGGGGGCTGGGGGACTTTGAAAATAAAGACAGTGTAACTGGGAACACAAAGCAATGAACAAGCATGGTTCAAACTCTGACTACGTGATCCAGAGTCAAGCTCACTAATCAAAAGACTGTGCTGAACTCCCAAGTCATACATGTATTACACCTGCTGAAAAAGCAAGAGCACCGCAGTAAACCAGGGCAATGCTGGCCTAAACAGTGCTAAGTGTAGGAAAAGTAAATCTCAACAGGCTAATACATTTCCTGACTGCTTCTCTACATGTTCCTTAATATTTCAGAGAAAAAGATCATCGGATGACCCATCAGCAGGTAACTATTAATACCATTATTTGTATCCTTGCATGTCCTTACATGTACACTACATGTCTCTAGCTAGCATACTGTACATACGTACATGTGTGGAGAGAAAGAAAAAATCTGTGAAATAAAAATCTGTTCACATTTTTAAGTGCCCAGGTTTTTGCATTTATCTTGTTGACTGTAAGTTCCGGTCCAGATAAATTACACTGTATGTGAATTTGTCCAGCTCTACACTGTATAGCAATCAAATGAGTGTCAGTTTGATTGATTAGAATACACAGTTTGCACCTTCAATGGAGTGCTTTAATCTTTCTATTAGCCCCAGGGATCCCAGTTACGCCAGGTGCTACAGGCCAACCACCAGCAGGAGAAGGTGGAAGCAATGTTGTACGTAAGAGACAGAAGACTTCTTCAGATCCTGAATCCGATGCAAGTGAAAGTAAGTTTTACACAGGACACATCAGAACCAAGTGCTGTGTCTCTTGATGGGAGAATTACATTTCGCAAGACCAGTGTTCTCCTTTTCAGGCGGTAACCAGTAAAATTTGCCGTCTGTAGGACCACTCATTACCGCCTAAAATCCCTTGGAATTCTTGAAATTCAACAGGTAAAAGAAAAAAATATAGTTGTTTCACCGACGTAATCGGTATTTTATCCTTGTAAAAGAATAAATAAACAGATTAAAAGATAAACTGGGCAGGCTATGGTTTGTAAGTATTACTATCTGTGGCTTTCAAACTTCAAGGCAAGATCCGCGAATTTTTGGCGGGCTTTCTGCCACAATTCCATCGTGGCAGATGTCATCTCTTCGCACGTGCATCGGTAGTTGTTTACGTTCAGTTTCACGATGAAGCAACAACGAACCCTGTTCTCATTTCTCTCCCTCATAATGGCAAGAAGTCACGAATGGAAACAGTTACAGTTCCATGAACTTCCCACCTAACTATTGGCTTTAGAAAACTGGTGTTGTTAAATTGGCCAACATTCACGTGTGGTGATCAAAAACTTTATCTTTGTTACGAAATGCTCCACATTTAGGTCAAAAGTGTTTAAAATCTATTTTCAGACGACGTTTGAGAGAATCCTTGATAATAAAACCCTTCCAGAACATGAATGAAAACGAATATGCAGTGATTTCGTTTGGTTTTGGGAGACAACCGCTGATTTTGTAGTGACACTTCATGTAAGCACAGCGAGGATACCCCGGAAGTGGCTTTTGCCTATTTTTCTGTGACTTAAGGTTACAGTATACCTTCGGGTCGGCAATTTTCTTCAAATTTGGATTTTTGGGTCAAAATAGTGGT